CTGGACAGTAGCAGTGTGTCATGACTTGTGTGTAAAGAATATCACAATCGATAGACTTTATGATGTTCATGACCTTGATCAGGGATTCTCCCCACAACTTACGTATCTCTCTTATTTCCCTGTGGGAACTTACTTAAGTATGAATTACGTCAGTTCGTAATTCACAAAAACAGTTCTGTGAGCCAAAGAGAAGGCTGGATATTCTGGTCAACAAGCTAACCAGAGTCATGAGGAATATCTCAGAGGACTATGGGCAGGAAGAAAGAACAGCATTACATGGACAGAATGCTGTTCAGTGGCTACATGGAGGTGGAGCAGTTGGAAGTCTACTGGTGGGCAAAGAATATAATGAAGAACAGGAGAAACAACACGGACAGGGTTCCTTTCTACCGACTGAAAACATGGCGAGCAAAAGAGAGAGAGCTGGACAAAAAGAAGAAAGAACACCAATGGTTCACTAAGAAGGGCAGGTTTGAGGCCGACATGTTTGTTGAAGCGACGCCGGGAGGTGCTCTGGCCAAAAGGACCCGGAAAAGGGTGAGGCAAGCGGGCCTTAAAATAAAGATTGTGGAAAAAGCAGGGAGTAGAGTAAAGGACATCCTGACAAGGTCATATCCATTCCGAGGGGACAAGTGCCTAGATGATGGGTGCACGGTGTGCCAACAGTACAGTGGAAAAGGCCAGTGCAAACAGAGAGAGGTGATATACCAATAACATGCAAAGGATGTGAAGAGAGATACTAGATCACTTGGTGAAAGGGTTCAGGAACATGTGAGGGGGAAGTCATCGGCATTACACTAACATATGCAAAAGAAACACAAGGGGCAGTCTCAGGAAATTAAGGTAAAAATACTGAACAGGTGCCCCAGCGACGTGATGCTCAGGCAGGTGATGGAATTGGCGTATATTAAAGAACTTAAACTGCAAATAAACAGAAGGGAGGAATGGACGGACAATAATAGAGAGCTGAAGGATACAAAATAGAAGACTGTGGTTCCATGGGATTGGAAGCGCATTGACACGTGCCTGGGGGTCCTGCGCATCGAGGCTCATTGAGGGAAACACAACGGGTGTTCAAGCATTTGCACCTGACGAGGGGCAGGAGATGCCCGAAAATTCATACATAACTAAGTTCCCACAGGGAGATATGGCTTTAAGAGAGATAAATAAATATAACAATTATTTGGAGGAAAAGTCAAGCTTGTCAATGTTGTCTGTTAACAAGAAACCAAGTACTGGGTTTGACATAGGTATGTAAATAATAAACCATTAAAATATTGCATGGTGACAGCCCTGAATATTTGGCTGAACTGATCACTCTTCGACCACTGTCTCACTTAAGTCTCCATAGCTTTAATCAGAAAACTGTGATCCTTCTAAAAATCTGTCTATCTGTAGTATTCCTTGGGTGATCTGACTTTTTAACATGCTGCTCCTTCTCTTTGGAATAAGCTTTCAGTTCAAGTAAAGAATGCCATTAATTTAAACCATTTTAAGACATTGTTAAAAACTCCACCTTTTTCAAATTGCCTTTGATTTTTGATTCATTTATATTGTACTAGTAATTCAACATTCACACCTTTCTGTATCACTATAAAAAAGTGTAAAGGGAACTTTGCTCAAAATCTCCCAGCCTTGTTTTCCCATTCAAGTCACAGTTACTTGCTATTGTTTCAGGTATTGTGATGTATCCAAAATAAGTACAGTAAGGTTCAGAGCTAAAAAAAAACTAAAGAAAAGAAAAAAGGAGGAAAAAACAAACAAACACCCCACCCAACAAACAAACAAACAAACACCCCAACAACCCCAACACCCCAACAAACAAACAACCAAAGAAAAACAGGACCATGCAAGAGAGTGAAGTGTCATCTGTCACACAGGAGATGGTTCTTTTTGATGAATTTAACCCTAACCCTCCTCCATCCTCCAACAGGTGAAGGATTGAGGAGGGTTAGGGTTAAGCCTTACCCACATTAGGGAGACAAATTCTTTTGTTTTAAACCATTTGGAAATGTATTTTTGTCCCCACGTGTAGACTTGTGCAGTGGCAAATTCACAGACCATGTAAGTCTACTATACACTGTTTCCTGCATAGCATATCACAGGTCTAGTTCAACACTTACTGTGCTCCTTTATTCTCATTTCATTTATTGGACACAAATGCAATGACAGCTATGTCATTAAAAGATACCCCTTGCAATTCTGACACAGCTTTGTCTTGGAAACTCTTTATTGCAACTAAAAATGCACTTTAAATTTGCTGGTACTGCCAGTGAAACCCCAACACAGAAAAGTAATATTGCCTATTGCTGTAAATACATGCAGTTATTGTACTTTGCCTTGCCTTGAGTTTGATCTCTCATCAGACTTCATTGTGAAGCATGTAAACATGGTAAAGTTATTGGAACTGTGAGTACCTACAGCCAAAATGTGCAAGTGTGGCAAATGGGGACACTCATATCTTGATTCAGTGCCCCCTGAATGATCTTAAATCAGTGACTTTTAACTTGCCAAAAACTTTTAAGATGAAAGTCATATTATAGGCATCCTAGAATTTTCAGTTGATGGCCTCTTTGGTCTTTGCTTTAGGCAATTTTTATGAAGACACTACTTTGCAAAGCGATTAAAGTTGAGAGCAGAAAAATATGCACCAAGTAAATGAGATTTGGGGAGAAAAAGAAGAAGCAGGAAGAGAAACTCTTGACAAAAAGAATGTGTTTTCCGCAACTTGTGGGAAAAGCCAAATATTCACAAGACTGGAATTTTCATAGTGGGGTTGAGTCTTTAATTGTGTGCAATATTTCTGTCCATGCATGTGCAAGTGTGCCTTCTACATTTATTCATAGTCAACTGTCTTGCTGCCTAATGGAACATCACCAATGGCTAAGTTCTGTCCAATTTTACAAGCTTTTTCAAGATTGTATTTTGGCGACAGTCTTCAAGCTACAGTAGAGGTCACAAATCTAGACACCTTAAAATATCTGTAGTTTACTACAGCTAGATGTATCTGACATCTCTCTGCAGTAAGGGAGATAATGGAGATGTTGTGTACTGTGACAGCTGGGCATGGGTTGTAGTAGTGAGCATGGCTACCTTATTAATACCTTACTATTGATACAGCTGGACCCAAGAACCAAGGCAAGACAGTGTTTCACTATTGAACATTTATTTTTTGGCAAGACAATCTTTCAAAATATTTGTTTCCATGCCTCAGAAATCATGTAGTATATTGAAGGGGACTATAAAATTGTTGATAGAATGCTTTAGTGGCTGGTTACTAACCAATGTTTGGTGTGGCAAGGTGGCATATAATTCAATATTATTTAATTTTTGGAGTGCGTGCTTAAGTCGGGTACAAATTTACAGTGGTTATGATAAAAGCAGTGCTGAAAGTAGGTGCCAGGTTCGGTTCGGGTTTGGTTCGGACATGGTTCAGAAGTTGTTAGCTGAACTTCGGACACTTTGGTTCAGACACGGTTCAGAAATTGTTAGCCGAACTTTGATTCGGTTCAGGTTCAGACACGTACACACATGTACCTACATGTATATATACAATGCACGTTGAGACATTGAAGAGAATGCTACAACCATGCCGTACACAGTACTTCTGTGTGTAAACTACGTTAATACAAGCAATGAATCTCCTCTCCATCCCCATCCATGAGCAACTTTGATTTGAACAATTTTTTTTCTAAACTGCTTCCTAAAGTTTGTTTAGAAGTTAAAATTGCCTAGAAAGTTACCGTTGGAGGTGTGACAGTTTCCTACCGTGTTTCACTGACCAAAAGCGGCTGTGTTTGGACCACACTTGACTCAACAAAACGATCGCACGTAGGATATGTGAAAACAGCAAAAAACAGCATGTTCAAATGGGAGATTCCTCCTTTTCAGAATACAAGATCAAATTAGATTTTGAACGAATTGTCTGTTGGTTATTTTCACAAAACAGATTCAATTGCAAACCATGGCTTTTGATGTATTAGAAGAAGAACCTTGGTATCCAGTCAGCATTCTCCCCATGACAGTGCCCACGTGGCCAAAGGGGCGATTTTTCATCAGTCCTTTTCAAACAGATAACAGCATTTTGTTATTTGAGATTTGCGAACAACGTATTATCACTATTACTTTTATCATGCTTCAATCAAACATGATGAACGAAAGGCAAGTTGGGCAACCATGTGAACCAAATCTTGTCACGCGCTGAAGCGCTGCACTAGCCCGCCTGGCAAAATCAGTTTTCCCTCCAGAGTTGATTTCGGTCGAGCACAAGTCCGACTGTGATCAGCATCCAATCAAAAGTCGTTTTGTCTGGGCATTTATGACATCATTGGCCTGATATGGAACCTGATGACGGCATGGCTATTGGAGATTGGCAAACATAATGCTAAATCTGATTATACATAAGCACAATTGTATGTAGTGAGAATTTAGAATTGCTGTGCAGCGGAGATGCTGCACGTTGCATGTTCTCAGTTGATTATTAGTGAATTCTCACCAAATACTTTTTACAACCATTGCGTGATGCAAGGCCATGGTAAGGTTACTGTACATGTATGTATGTATGTATAGCACATGTGCTGACTGCCGGAGCGGCACCGTGCAGCACAACTCGTTATCTACTTTTCGTTGTGTTTGCTTTTTTATCACGTTTTCTTGTATGCGTTCCGTGCACTATCAATGCTATCCCATATTAAAGCCGAACATCCGTACTGACCAGTTTGGTTCGGTTTCGTTTGAAAGTGCCATGTTCGATGATTTTTGGTTCAGTTTGGTGGTTCGGCAGCAGCACTAGATAAAAGTTAAGTCAATCAAAAGTTTGCACAACAAAAAACAAACCATTATCAAAAGGGAAAAGTACCAGTAGGTAGCTTTGTACATAAATTTGCACATCTTGAATGAATAACACAGGTAATGTGTGCATACGCAAGGTGTGTTTTCTGAAGTTAAGTGTAACAATAGAGGATCCACAACGATATACATAACTTCATTTTAATTCTTACCTTGGTAATGTAGGAGTACAAAACACAGTAACACAATTTTCAATGAAGCCACGATCAAATGGATTGTGTCCACTGCGAAATTTTCCTGTTACCTGTACATGGGAATTATGGAGAGATACTTGGTTGATACTCCTCATTTTAACCACAGCAATGAAGTTTTGGGATGCAAAAACTCTGTTTAAGTTTGAAAATTGATTATAAAAAATCAACCCTAACAGTCCTCAGTTCTTCACCTGTTTGAGGATTAATGACAGTCACAGTTAAACCCGTGCAAAACAACCCTTTTACCCACGTAACCTGTTTTTGTTAGCATGTTTGCATCTAAAGATGATAGAAATACACTGATAATAGAAATATTAAGTTTTCTTTTACTATCACCTGTAGGCACACACATATTTAAAGAAAACAGTGATATAAACAAGACTGGGAAACTAAATATCAATCTCCTATCCTAACATATACCTTTAAATGTCTCTGGACATTTATGTACATATATAATTTTATGCTGATTGGGAACAGCACTGTGTGATTTATAAAGTCATCATGAGTCCAAGACCATTCTGGATGATTTTTGCTCAATTGGATATCTTGCTTTTTGAAATATCCAGTTTGTTCAAGCACGATTTCAAACATCTGGAAACTGGTTGTGTGAATTTGTGCATAACATTGTACCCTAGAAACCTGGTTTAAGCAGGTGTAGCAGTGGTGTAGCAAGGTCATTTTGTGTGTGTGTTGGGGGACACGCGAAAAAGGGTACTATCGGTATCCATGCCGAAAAAGAGATAATTTTGTTTCAATGGGAAGTTCTACACCACATTTGAATGGTGATGCTGCTCCAAGTTTATTTAAAGTATCAGACAATAGGTGGCAATATCCACAATTATAAAATTTTGATTATCATGCTAAGTTTGTTGACAGCACTTATCAGAAAAGGAAGACGATTTCATGGCTGAAATTTCTTCACCATTATTTGTCAATCTTTTTGCAAATGTGGTGATTGGTATGTTTCCCTATTATGTAACTGGGTTTGGTTAAACGGCTTCATATTTAAATTAGCCATCCCTGTTGAAACCTCAGTTTATTAAAATAGTTGCAAAACAGCTGAATAGAAAGTGATAAATTCACTTAAGAAACATGAATCTGAAGTCATTTTTTTAAATGTTTTGTGCTCCTTCGCTTGGAATGTGTCCATGGATACTGTGACAACTTTGACAAAGTGTGCTATCCCTCAATTTTGTACCACATTTTGAAAACAACTATGCTCAATGATGTACGATCCTGGAAATGAAATCAAAGCACATACATATATCACTGAAAAGCACAGACTTTCTTGAACAATGATATATTCAGAATTCAGAACTCTGACCATGTCTATAATCACAGCATGTAACCTTCGGCCAGAAGCTGAAGAGATAGCAGAGTGGTCAACTCATCATCAGATGAAATGGAAGTGGGAAGTTGAGGAGGTTGTGCCCAACTGGCCAACCTTTCAGCATGTCAAGATCATTTCAAAGCTGGGAAATTGAGTTGGAATGTCGTTGGTTATCACATTTGAAGAGATATCATCAGAGGAAAAAATTTGCATGTATCCGTTCACCAACTCAAGTGCTTAATAAGCTTGAACAGGGCCAAATAGTCGGCTCATTGGCCAATGCATCCCTGCTATATGGGGAACAATAGAGGCTCCCACGGCAAAAACTATGGAAACCCCTGTAAAAGCAGTTGTTTCATACAGTCGGATGAAGATGAGCTGGAGCTAGCATAATGTCGCTGGGTTTCTTGTGAGCACCATGCATGTGTGGTGTTGGGAGTTGTATTTTCATATCTCTAATGAGTCCTGGCTGATTCAGTTTCCAACTTGGTCAGATCTGGATCCCCCAAACCATCCAAGTTATCCTGGTAGTAAGTTTTGGTACTTGAGGCCCAGCTGTTGTTGCTCCATCTCACAGACCTAACGGCACAGCTTGACAGATGGGTAGAGCCCCACAGTGTACTATATAACTGCAATACTTATGTCACTCCCTCTACATTATTAGCCTTACCTCAGCTTCCAATTCTGAATGAGCTAGACAAGCTAATCCCTTGCTTGTGGTTAAGGGTCCTGTTATTCACTGCATCCCTTCAGATGTGTTCAAGAAGGGCAGTAACATCTTGGCTGCAGGGCTTTACACTGTTCTTACAAACTATTGGGACTCCAGTTTTGTACAAAAGGATTTTAGGATGTCAATATCATCACCCTTTACAAAAACAAAGGCAGCTGACGGGTCTGCAACAACTACAAGGGTATCTCTCTGCCGTGTTTGACTGAGAGTGATTTTGTCTGAGTGCTGAAAGAATGGCTCCAAGTCATCACCAGCTAAATTCTCCCTGAAAGCCAGGGCAGCTTTCATCATCCACCCCTGGCAGTGTTCTCCGTAAGTCCATTTCAAAAGAAGTGTGTCAAACAGCACTGACCCCTTCTTATCATCCTTGATCTGACAAAGGCATTTGACAGCTTGAATCACTCAGTCTTGTTTGCCATTCTAATGCACTGGGGCTGCCCTGTAAGGTTGTTGTCCCTTCTTACGAATCTCTGTGACAACATAAATATCACAGTTCGATTCAACGGCTTAAAATCTACTGAGTTTGGAATCTGCCAAGGCAACAAGCAGGGTTTTGAGCTTGTGCGTATCATGTTTGGTATCTTTTTCTCCACCCTGCTATACTGTACATTTCCTGATCCATATGGCATCCTGCTACACACTCGCAAACCTCCTCAATCTGTTCAGTCTTCATGTTGAGACCAAAGCTAGGTAAGTCCTTGAATGAGAACTATTGTATGATGCAGCCACTGTTACTCACTAAAGCTGACCGTCAAGATCTCTGCAACTCAACTTTGGTAAATTAGTAGTTTTAACACAAGGTTTCGCACCTCCATCTGAAATCACAATCCATGGAATAGCTTTGAGAAGGGCTGAATAATTCCAGTACCTTGGCTCTACAGTTACCAGCTCTAATACTCTACATGCAGAACTATGAATATAGGAAGAACTGCAACCACCTCTATGCTCATGACAGGGACAACTGGTCACTCTCCACCAAGCTTAAGATATGCACCTACATGTCGTGTATGTTGAGTGTACTCCTTGACTGCAGCAAATCAAGGCCAACCTACTGACACAAGGAACACTGGTTGAACACCTTCTATTTCTGCTGCCTACACTCAATCCTTGAAATCTCTTGACATGGCTGTGTCTCAAACCCTGCCATTCTTGAGCTTGCTGGCACTGATGGGTTATTAACACTGCTCTCAGCTTGCTATGTTTGCTGGTCTGGTGACATCTGCAGGCATTAGAGTTGCAATGATGAGACTCAAGTCACTGCATGCAAATGACTTGACTGGAGTCCCTCATCAGACACTTTGCCCACAACCACTTTCCCACTTCATCTACGCGCTACTTCATTTACGGGTCACTTTGCCCGCACAATATTTTGCGAGGTAAGAACGCGTGTCCTAGTTTCACACGCAAGCAGGCACCTTCACTGATCACCAAGGGCTGACAGCCTTGCACAGATTTTAGTGAAGGAAATACTTCACACTGGGTCACAGCTAACAACGCGCACAACACTGTGGGCAAATTTCTGCCAGGCACAAGTGATACTCAGTGAGAAGATAAATTACCACACTGTAATTGTACCAAGGCTATGTTTTTACTACATAGCCAACACTTTACCCATGCCAATGTTTTGCCATTGGCGAACAAAAAAATTAAACAATGCTTCACCCTGTTTGGGTGCTGGATGATGAGCAAAGTAGGCACCAACAAATTTCCACATCCTTAACCAGGAATACTGCGTGCAATTTTTTTGGACACAATATCGAAACATCAAGACTCAGAAACTATAAAAGCGTTGTGTTGGGTTGTGTTGGGTGTTGAAGGAACAGCTGGAGGTCTTGTGGGCTATGTGGCCAGACGACGAAGGTGTCGGCCACATACCGGATCCATACGTTGGGCTTGAGGTCCGCAGAGAAGAGGGCTGTCTGCTCAAATTCTTCCATGAACAGGTCTGCCAGAACCGGGGATAGAGGCAATCCCATGGAGGTTCCGGAAGACTGCTCGAAGAATTTGTCTCTCCACTGGAAGCAGGAAGATGATACGCAGCTGATCAGGAGATCGTGGATTTGATGTGGTGTGAGGTTGGTCTGGTCGCTGAGTGAGTGATCTTGAAGTAACCTGTCCTTGGTGATGGTGCATGCTTCGGATGTGGGTACATTAGTGAAGAGAGAGACTACATCGAAGCTGACCATTATGTCTGTGGGGCGTAGAGACAACCCGTTGATGAACTGGGCGAACTGGTCCGAGTTCTTGATATGATGTGGGGTGTTGCCGACCAGAGGGTGAAGGATCTTGGTGAGGTGCCTGGCAGTGTTGTAGGTGGGGTCACCTCGGGAAGCTACAATGGGTCGGAGTGGGATACCGGTCTTGTGAATCTTGGGCTGGCCGAAGAATCTTGGACATCTTGTACTGGAGGGTCGGAGCTGTCGGTATAGGGCCATGGAGATGCTGTCAGACCATTGAAGGGCTAGGAGCTTAGCCTGGAATCTCTTTTGGATGGAAGGTATGGGGTTCTTGTGAAGGGGCCGGTAGGCACCCGACTCAAGAATATCCCGCACCTTACGGTCATAGTCAGCTTTGTCCATGACGACAGTTGCATTCCCCTTGTCCACAGTTAGGATGTGGATGGAGTGATCTCTTAGTAGGCTTTTGATGGCTTGCTGTTTGGTCTTGGAGATGTTGGGCTTGACAGGCTTGTGGTTCTTGAGGGCTAAGTTGATGTGGAGGCAGGCATCGTCTGTTTTTTTTTAACAAACATATTACATTTAGGACTCCTGACAACCCCTATATGCCAAATCTAAGGGTGTCCTTCCTGAGTAACACAGAGTTTTTCCAATTTACATGTATTTTATAATTGATAGTGCATATACTTGAAGATGAAGCAAAGCAACACGTGTATCATATCTGGGGGTGCATGGCCCTTAACTCACGTTAAGCACTACATCAAGACCCAAGACCCTCCCAGACCAGTGGGTCTCCTATACCCAAGGTCAACC